TGAGATACTCTTGTAGAACCCAGTTTTAAGAAACGCGGAGCCCTTGCCAGTACCAGAGCCGTAAATATTACGCAAAGCTTTGATCGTGTTTGTCGTCGCTTGGCCGGGGGCAAATCGAGTAATTTTACCTGTACGGCAATTAGCATGAAGCTTAAGCCGACAGATCCAGGTCTCTTACCATAAGATTCATGTAGCGCATGGAACTGATGTGCGCTCCGCCCCGATATGAAAGCGAATTTGGTTGCGATCTGTATATCTTAGCATTAACTCCTTAGCTCCCATCATTTGTTTTATAGGAAAGGTCACATACACCACAACAGAAAATATCAAGGAACGGCCCGGGAACGCCTTTGATGGTAGGACCCCTTGGCTGGACTTGTACAAAGAGAATAACGAGAAAAATGAACTGTACTTGTCAGCCACACTGTAGAGACTCTACCACAGTTGTCATGAAATTCATGGATCTCAACATACAAGCACGACCGCCAGGGTCGGATAGGATATCATCGCAGGGGAGTAGCCCTCAGGGATTTGCCCAGACGGTAGATACAAAGCAACAAACACCATTTTGAGGTCTCTATCCAGCGAGCGAAATTGTAGAGTATTTGAGACGTATAAGCTGCTACTGGCCTTTGCGCGAAGGAGAGACTTGGTCGGAAGACTTGAACATAGGACCTACGTGCAGGTGATATAGCGGTCCTTATCTATCCCAGGACGATATAGAGCTCCCCAGTACTTAGAGCCGGTTAATTGGAGATACGGTCCATATTACCCGGTTCTCTTTTAAGTTTAATTTTCTATTTTTCCAATTCTTTGCTTTTCTTTCGCGATCAACTGTTGCCCCTAGTTTGATAAAGTTTTGGCTAGATGCGCTCGAATCAACACAAGGATCATCATACGATTTGGAATCATACTATGTTCCAAGGGACGCAGTCTCATAAGAAGAATTAGTTCAAGATTGGCTCTTGGCAGGAAATCCCGATGTTTAGGCGGATTTGGAGACTGGTGAACTCAGAAACCAGAAGGAAGTTAGGGCCCAAATTTGGTGTTCCAGGCATAGCGATCGACGTCAATTAGCTGGATCTTAGTTTTGAGTCCATCCGGCCTTGGACTTGGCAATTAACCCTAATTTCAAACGATGTTTTGGATTTCCCCTGTATGTGACAAGGATTTATTATATATGATCATCTGTCTCAGGGTTGTGTGTCTTCTCCCCTGTAACCCGGTGTTGATTCCTCATGTATTATCTGGAAACCCCAACTCACCTTCTACACTCATTGACTTTCCCTTATGATGGCTAGTAATCAGCGCACAAGTGTGCTATTTCTCGCAAATAGCGAGCATGGCCAAACAAACATTATTCTGGCGATTACGCACGAGCTGTTGGTGCGAGGAGATGTGGACGTGCATATTGGCTCTTTCCCTGCCCTTGAGCGACGCATTGACAAGCTCTTGGCTGACAATGCCTCTGCGTATGATGGCTCATTCCAGTCGCGGATTCACTTCCATCCTATTAGAGGACCTTCAAATACGGATGTCTTTATCCGCACAGGGAAGCGAGGCGCTTTCCATCCTCCCGGATATCATGGTGCGGTACTTGGGTTCCAGTCTCTGTGCGAAGACATCTGGGGTTGGACGGAGGAGGAATACGTAGATATCTACAATTGTTGCGTGGAGATCATCCAGACTGTTCAGCCGTCAGTCATCGCAGCCGACTTCTTCTTCCTCCAAGGAAGAGATGCTGCGTATAATACGGGGTATACGGCGATTTTGATCAACACTACCTCCCTCACTCACATCGTTCTTGGATTGCAGCCACAGTCCGCTGCGTTGTGGAAGTATCCCCTGTGAGTTAATGCTCTCAACATCTCAGAAGCTGCAACCACTAACTATGGACCAGGCCTGGGACAGGATTTCCATACCCTCTTCCATGGCATTTAATCCCACTCAATGCTCTTGCTGTGGTCAAAACGGCGAAGATGTATCATGGAAGTGGACGGCGGCGTGAGATTCGCGAATGGAGAATTCGGCACAAGATCCATGGTCGGTTTCCGTTTGCTGATACCTGGAGGCCCGATCGGTTCCATCTTTCCCCAGCGCTGAAAGAGCTTGACTGGCCCATGGATGTGCCTGATAATATTCTTCCCTGTGGACCGATTTTACTCCCCACGGCTTCAGTCCACAAACAGGATCCCGAACTAGCAAGTTGGCTACAGAAAGCGCCGACTATCTTGGTGAATCTTGGAACGCTATATGCGCCCGATCCCAAGGTTGCCGAGAATATTGCGACAGGTCTCAAGCTCTTCCTTGATACTTGGAAGGGCGAGAGGGTTCAGATTCTATGGAAGCTCCCCAAACACCCGCATGATGAGGATGATGTATACATCCGGTCCATCGAGCCGCTGAGACGAGAGACTAAGACTGATTGTGTTCGTATCCACCCCTGGTTCTCCGTTGAGCCCATGGCCATGCTTCAAACAGGGCAGATTGTCTGCTCCGTTCACCACGGTGGAGCGAACTCGTGGTATGAGGCCATCCAGTGAGTCCGCCTTCGCCTGGTCTCCGAATAGGGTAGCCGCTAACAGGTATAGGAATGGCGTCCCCCATGTGGTTCTACCGGCATGGCAAGATTGCTATGAGAATGCCGCCCGCGCGGAGTGGCTTGGAATTGGGGTGTACGGCAACAAAACCCGTGCCCCGAATATCAACGGCCGAGAGTTAAGCAATGCACTTTTGAAGGTCATGGGTAATCGCTCATATAAAGAAAAAGCACTTGGTCTTTCCAAGCTATGTCAGAAAAAGGAGGGACGTGTGGCAGGTGCGGAAAAGATCGTCGAGCTGGCGCACAATCCGGACCTGATGGCCATGCACATCCCGGATGTGAAGATCGATGGTCCTCAGTGTCAGCTCAACGAAATCCGAAACCGTTCTGGAATGGTTCTCCAGTCAGTCCAGTTGCCTCAGTCGGAAGGCAAGCCAACGGCCAAGTATATCTCTCCAACCGTATCACCATTACCGTTCAACTCAGTTGGAACTAATTCATGAGCGACAGGCCCTTTCTCAATGACCTTGCAGAGGCAGCACTGATGACCGCGCTTTGCAACACGTGGTTTATTCTACCCTTGCTTGGATATTCACTTTTACTGGTTCCCCGTTTGCGATTTCTGGTTCTACTTTACATCATCTATATCAAGTATTTTGCCAAAGCACATGAAGCGGGCACCCTTCCTCTGCGAAACGATGTTTTTCGGACTTCTTGGATCTGGAAAATCTTTGTATCTTACTTCCCCCTGCGGCTCTATCGTTCGGTACCTCTCTCCCCACGGAGGAAGTATATTTTTGGCTACCATCCCCATGGTGTCGCTATTCGAGGAGCTGTTGGCGCATTCGCCGCAGACGTGGCCGGGTTTTCTCAACTCTTCCCAGGGATTACCAATACCCTGTTGATGAAGGATAGTGTGTTCTATCAGCCGCTGCTTCGAGAATATCTTCTCTCTGCCGGGCTCAGTGGTGTCTCCCGAAAATCATGCATTAGGCACCTGACACGGGGAGGTCATGACGGTCGGGGAATGGGCCGTGCCATTACCATCACTGTGGGAGGGAGTCGTGAATACAACGTCGCTCGACCCGGCACCATGGAGGTCGTGATCAAGATTCGCAAGGGCTTTATCCGGGTCGCCGTGGAAACTGGCGCCGACATCGTGCCGGTGGTCGCGTTTGGGGAGAATGAGATCTTCGACCGCGTGGACGTCCGATCAAAATTTGTGCTTAGATTCACCGCACGACTGTGGGAATGGCTTGTTGGCCACCAAGTGGCATTTTCCATTGGCCGGTTTAACATCTTCTGCCCTTATCGTCAGCCGTTGAATGTGGTCGTCGGCCATCCTATTCCCGTCACTCAACAACGATGGGACCCGGACGAGCAATATATCGATCAGTTACACCAGCAATACATGAGAGAGTTGGAGAGACTGTGGGATAATTGGAAGGATACCTTTGGAACTGACCAGTCCGTGAGGTTTGAGGTGGTGGAATAATTTGGCGCGTTGATCTGTATCATAATCTCTTCCTACGCTCGGACATTTTTCTCCCCCAGTCATGTACAGCACAAGGGAAATTACCATTCTGCCTCCAAGCCTATTTGAGCCTATTAAAGCTTCAACTAATAATACATTAGCGCCATGACCAAGACATCGTTATTGGTTGAATCGTATGTCTTGAAGAGCCAGACTGGGGCCGTGGGGCGAGTCAGGATCAGATCCTTCCTGGTTTTGAAGACAACCAACTTAGGGTTATTTTTTTTCCCCTACTACTCAGACTGCCTTGTCAGGGTACCAGACCAGGCTGTGTTTATCAAGGTTTCAGGCGTGCCATGCTAAGCGAGGTCAGGAATGCATTAGATTCATTTTAAGTCGCGTGGCGGAGTTAAGAAAGAAGCTTTAGGGACAAGATTAATTAGTGTGAGGAATCCATCAATACGAAGAAACAACAAACTCAACATAGCCTCAAAACATAACCGCTTTGGCCCCCACGTCAGCCTCAAAAATGACCAACAAAACAATCACAACAAGCGCTAGGATTCTTTTTTCTCCCCTTTTTTCCCTCACGCCTCGAGACGTTGGACTCGTTGGGCTTTTGCAATAAAATCAATACGGGGGCCCCCGGGATCATAGCTTCGTCCGCATATACGCTTCCCTCATCTATATCTCCAGTGAGCTATTTGCCTTCTCATGGCGAAAACTGACCGTAAGACGCCACTTGAGGGCGCTTCGATTCCACTAGGAAGTTCCCCAAGCGACAATGGTGCTTCTTCGTCGAGGAATACAAACCATGCGGTGGTAATCGCGTGGAGTTCTTTCGTGGTCACAATTCCCATCCTCGCATTAACGGTGGCATTCCTGGTGCTAGTATTCAAGTATCGAGTGAGCCATGGAGATGCTCCGTTTGAGAGCCTCCGCACGTCTGCGGTGAATGACGAAGCCAGCGCGTTTTATGTCAATATGAATTCCAGTATCCTCCTGTTTTTAGCTTCCTGGGCGAGCTCGGTGGCTACGATGCTGTCGGGGTTTATGTTAACCCTCGCCTCATTTCCCATCGCCCGTCGATTCTTCCAAGATGTCCAGAGCTCTCGGTTGAATCGCCTGCCGACCCCATACCAATTGGCACTGACCTTGAAGTTTCTGGATGGAAGCACTCTCGCTGCGATCTGGGGTTGGGTCGTCTATCTCTTTTCGTGGAGAAAGAAGCGTGCACCGCTGACACCTCCTTTGACCGCCGCTTCATCGGTTGCGTTACTTGCAACACTGCTTGGGTAAGTCCGTCTGATCTGATGAAGGTTATTTGAGATATTCTGACTTCCGGAGAGGTTGCTTGTTACCCTAGGGGACACCTGGCTGCACCTGACCACCACCACTGTGGAATTCACTCAAGTCAAGCCGGTCACCAACCAGACAAACTATGGTTTTGGACTCATACCTGAGTGTCTTACGAGCAACAACTCGGTGGCAGCACAGAGCGGAGAGCAAATTTTATGCAGCGTTTCACTAGCGGTGACCGGCAGCTTCCTGCGAAATGGAACGACCTCGCTCGGAGTTCTGAATGACATGTCCGACCTGGCGACCGTCTCGACATATACTGACCCACAGGCGAACAAGTACACCTTTCTGCAAGCACCAGAAGGGGCATCACTGTCCAACCGAGACTATACAGCGAAGACCTACGGAGCGAGGACACAATGTGAACTGATCTCGACCAAGTGTAAATTGAAAAACAACGCTGCGATCGTCACGTATAACTGCTCCAGCGACTTCGCCGGGAGTTTCACTCAAACGGGCATGAAATCAGCATTCTTCACCAACGCCAGCATGGCTGAAGACATGAGCCAGAGTATGTACAACACGGGTGTGGGCAACCCATACTACTTTGCGGCGGCCGACATCATGAGTCTGGCTGGTGGAGAAGCACCGAACTCAACCGAGTTTCTCAAGAGTCTTCATGGCCCATATGCATACATCCTGGGCTGCAACACGACGATCTACGACATTGAGTACGATCGGGTGAACAACAGCATCACACGTTTTGTACCCACGATCAGCAACACCTCTGCCAGCAACGTCTGGCAAACGAGCATTTCCCACCTGAACAACTGGTATCCCACAATCGAGCAGACAGCGGGAGCAGCCATTTTGAGTGGCTCAGCTCAGGTATTTGTCGACAAGATCGCCGAGGCCTTTAGTAAAGTCACTATCGCCCTAGGGGCCGACGCGGTCGATGCACGACCAGCAATCGCGGCACAGGATCGAGAGTCATTTCTCGTGGCGCGGCTCCCGAAGGCTCCGCTCATCACGTTGGTCGTGGTTAGTTTCTTATACGTGCTCTGTGGTTTGATTTTCACTGTCCTCGCCATGGTGGCTGTTCGACATAAAATTCCTGATATCCAAGCCCGAATGAGCATTGCTGGCCTGGTGGCAGATCGATTTGGGGATCCGTCTTCCTGGAGTAAGAACACCAGCGTGGACGAGATGTTTGAAGAGTATTCTGGGAAGTCGGAGAAACGCGTTGCTATTGAATCCCCGGATGTTGATGGGGCGCATAGATTCACAACCCGGACATGGGAATCGACAGTGGTTCACTAATGGGCCCGGTAGATAGATATTCCCACGGGATCAAATCAACCTATGGGTACATAGCTAAGGCTTCAAGAATACGTAATGTTTACCTTGTATTTTTTTTTTTTTTTTCTTCTTTCTAATCCCCTTCGCGGATCTACTGGTCGCTGGCATGGGGGCTCAGTGTCCTATAAAGTATGTACTAGTATCGGGTATCATATACAGAAGTGGACCAACATGGACATCAAGCATGTCTTGGCGAGATCCTGCTTGACACAAAGCTATGCATCTGCAAGAGCAGCTAATCATGTCTCTACCAATGAATGACATATTCTACGTGCCTGGGGTGAAATTCTTGAGCACGGTGGCAACAGAACTGACTCGCTCGCAGATCCTTTCCTGATAGAAATGACGTGAGAGGGAGTTTTTATTGGAAAAAGTCGTCCGAAGATAAGGTTAAACTGGATCCCCGGTTTCCTGGTCCAGCAGCCCCAGGATTCCCCGTTTTCTCCCCCCCCCCCCCCCAATGGAGTGGCTGCTCGAACGTGCCTGCAAATGAGCATGCAAGTTTTGCCAAGCTGTCGGAAGTTAAAGGAAAGGAAATTCTCTGGCCCTTTCGAATCCTTCCGATGACAGCCGCAGTTCCAACCGGGCCCTAGTCGACCAGTACTAAGTAATACTATTCAGGGGCTAAATTTAGTCTGACGCCAAGACTTAAGACGCGTTGATTTCGGAGCTTCAACTCAATTCCGGGGAACAAATCTTTCGTCTTCTTTTCTTTCGTCGTGCTCGTCGATGGCTCTTGTTGTCGCTGTATGTCGGTAGTGGTCTAACAAGGGGTCTCCCGGACAGTGAACCATCATGCCCTGATGTCTGACGGTGCAAATAACAGTCACTATGATCCCTTTCGCGCCGCGTCCAGTGCGGAAATTGCCCTGGAATGTGTCGTGGCAACTTTTATCGGTATCGCATGGTATAATGCCATCGAACTCGTCGTCCTATGTTTCACCACATTCAAACGATATGGGGGCTGTTATTTTTGGAGCCTGGTGATAGCCTCCATCAGCATTGTCCCCTTTGCCTTGGGCTATGCGCTGCTCATCTTTAAAATATTCCCCAGTTACTTCTCGGTCGCACTGGAGGTGGTAGGGTGGTGGGGCATGGTCACCGGCCAATCCATGGTCCTCTGGTCGCGATTGCATCTCGTCGTTCACAGTCGCAAGATCTTGCGCTGGACATTGATCATGATTATCACGGATGCCATTCTGTTTCATGTCCCCGCGTCGGTCCTGGAGTTCGGCGCTCATTCCAACCACCAAGCTCAGTTCAACCCGGCCTTTGATATCTTCGAACGGATTCAACTAGTGGCCTTCTCGGTCCAAGAGATCATATTATCGGTCATCTATGCGTGGGCCGCAGTCGAAATGCTGAAACTCATTCCCCGGGGCCATTATAAAGGCATCCTGATCCACCTCCTGGTTATCAATTTCGTCATGATCAGCATGGACGCGGTTGTAGTGGGGATGCAATATGCTGGCTTCTTTCGCCTTCACGTATCCCTGAAAGCCATGTTCTACAGTGTCAAACTGAAGATGGAATATGCAATCCTGGGAAGACTGGTCCATGTCGCCGCCGTTCCGGTGCATCCACTATCGGGCTATATTCCGACCCGTCGATCTAGTTCTGTATCACGCATATAGAGCTTTGCGGATGTGGATATATCTTGGGTAGCATTGGTTTTTGCGATGTATATATATCACCATCGCAACCAATGACAGAGCTTTTCTCTAAACCCGCAGGAACGCCTCCAGAGAAGCAACCCATGTTGGTGGCAAAACGGAAAAGCTGCAACTCCTGAATAGCACGGAGCTTTCTCAGTGGAGTTTCATATAGCATGACGCTGCTCATCGTGCAGTTCATGGAGAAACGGTGAGTATGTCCGGCCTGCATTGACTACAAGCCAGTGAATGGCTTCCTGCGCAGTATGAGCAAAAGGTTGAAGCCGAGTATGGTGGCGAAATTATAGGTTTACCCGGGAGGAGGTCAATCTGATGTTTGCCTTTTCCCTGTGCCTAACAAGTAGGTTTAGTAGCATAGGACAATGCTACATGGTATCGATGTCAATACCTATGAGAAATACCCTGCAACGAAGTTAATCGGATCTGCCTGAGATTGACGGATACGGAAGGATACGTGTATACATACTTACCCCCGTGATGCCCCCGTGATGTGTAACTGTATATAAAATTAGACAGACCCGTCGGCATCCTCGTCTCCTTGAGACACCCCGATTAGGGCGAAAAAAGATTCAAATTCAGCAGAGCTAAATTAGTATTTGCCAGACAATCGCATAATTGTGATTCGATCCGCAGATAGGTTCTTCATCTCCTTAGATTTAAAGACTCATACGCAATAGGATTGCCAATGCTGATGAAGCTTGTCGTACTTGAGCTTGTGCAGTTTGCAAGCCTCGTGAAGAGAGTCGCAGTGAAACGTGATCAAGGTTCTGATGCTGACAGGGAAGCTCTAGGAGGGGATAAATGACACTCAACAGCCGTCTGGTTATGCCGTCTCATGGAAGGTTGCTAGAAGTCCGGGGCTGCCCTACTCCGTGCGTAGTGAGACAGGGAAAGTAGTGCAGAAGTCGCTCTGTGGCCCCCAAGAGTGGGCTGGAGCGTTAGACAGTGAGACTACTTTAGTCCTGTCTGAGATTCATTTAATCCTTTGCAGGCTATAAAATTCCTTGTCAGTAAACAAACATTCAGGTCTGTTATCAGTAATACCAGCAGCTAGGCGATAGAACTAGTCGTTTAAGCGGAACGAACTATCTATGGTGTATTAGCTCTGTAGGAGAGCTTGGATACTGAACATGGGCCAACACGTGGGAGGTGGCCAGAGCGTGCACCCTAATTACTATGTATGCGCCGAACTAATCATTGGCGGCATAATTGTGCAGGAAAGGGATGCAATTAATCAACACGGCATGAGGACTTCAAAGCTACTGTGTAAGACAACCTTTGACCGAGTCGTTACTCTACCTAGTCTCATCCTGTCGGATGTTGCTCCCCGTGTCAAGTCCAGTTAGGAGGGAGTATCACATAAATACGAGTCAAGACTGATTTTTTCTTCCTTTTGGGAGCATTATTATTAGACAAAATAGCGTTCAATAATCCTCACTAATGTATAAATTCTATGGTCGCCATGACTCGCTTCGACCAGTGTGCATTATCTGAGCGCCGTGAGTTATCACGAAAGTTACCATCAGGCTGCTGGATAACTCCGTGGTGACAATGACTGATCTCATCACAGCATAACCGAAGGCGTCTGGTATATACCAGTCCAAAAGTACGATTTGCCTAGCTGCTTCAAGGAATCATTATTCTCCTTGTTCCGGGAAGCGCTCCGCAATTAGCGCACGTCTTATACTAGTACTTTTGCGATGATGTCTGCCCCACACAAATGGAACATTTCCCCACCAGTCATGCATTTATCCAAATGTAGGAAAATATGGTAATCTTTCCAGGTTTGACCCCCTGTCCATCGGTAATATCTTGGAGTCCAGAGGAGCCGTCGTCGGCCGAGACCGTGGGAGCTATGAAAATCTTCTCCAACTTCGGGCATCACAGATTGATATTCCCGTTGATATATCATTTCACAGTAAGTACTTACATTTGACAGGTGCGGGGCTTGACCCACAATCGCCTGATGCGAGCCATCTATTTTTAATTAAGGAAAAAAAAAAAAAAAGATCAAAAGATGTGGCTAGCTGTTGACCCCTATCTATCCCACAGAGAGTTTGTATTCTCTTTAGATCTTCGATTCCTAGATAGGGGACTAATTGAACATGTGCCTTTACAGATACAGAATAGACATGTCATTTAGAGATGGAGATAGGGCAAGAGAGATTGGCTCCTACACAATGAAAATGGAATATGTTAAAATTAGAATAACGTGTTACGTGTGCTTACCTTGATGGACCATCGTCCCAGAAGCACATAATCCTAAATACAATACAACCGTGAAAGCCCATACATACATACATCATTAAGCACTGACGGTCAGGTCTGTACGCTCCTTCATCTTGACGGGAATACCCTCATGCCTCACAAACCATGAGTTGGTGACATGCCACGTGTGATCGAGGCTAGGAAGCTCCATCTAAAATGCACAGTTAGAAAACCCTTACGAAGGACAAAGGGGGAAACTGACCTCAAAGGTGCTGAACAGAGTTGCAATGAGCTTGTAGCTCTCGAGTTGGGAAAGATATCGTCCCATGCACATCCGGGGGCCAGCCCCGAAGGTGAAGTCAGTACTCTTCATTTTAGCGAACCGTGCTTGGTAGGCTTCATCGCTTTCACCTGGGTTTGAAAGCCACCGCTCTGGGATAAAATCCTCCGTGTTGGCCCCGAAGATGGCCTCATTCTTGTTGATCACCCAGGGGTTCATGCCCACAATAGTCCCCGCGGGGATGAAACGACCGTCGGGAAGAGTGAAACCTCCTTCGGGGACGATCCGCTCGATCATAAGCCCAACGCCTGGGTTAACTCGCATGGACTCCCGCATGACGGCATCAAGATAGGTGAGGCCCTGTAAGTCTTTCCATCTGGCTGGGAGGGGGACTTTTGCCGCATACAGCTCATCACGCAACTTTCGATGCACGCGGGGATGCTTCAGGATGTGATACACCGCGGAGCACATTGCGCTGCCGGTAGTATCACTACCGGCCAAAGTGTTGGACAGGAGATAGGTGACGATCGTGTTATCATTGACCAGCTCGGGATACTTCTTCTTGGTCTCCAGGAACTTATCGAGGAAGTCCGTATGGCCACTCGGTGGAGTTCCACCGCTCAGACGTTTCTGGAGCTGCTCGAGACTGAAGATATTGGCCCACACAAAAGTGGGCGGACCGAGACGAACGATGGGGTTCTTGTCCAGGAGCAAATCCAAGATCGGCATTTGGGAGATCTGCCAGGGTCAGTCGCCTCGAGGTGTAAAGGAAGGGAATTGATTGATCTCACTGAGGCGAAGTAGTCGAGACTCTTGTTCGATCGGCCCAGGAAACCTTGGTAGTCCGAACCGGCCTCGAGGATGCCCAGGTTCTGAGAAAAGGTAATTTGACTCATAACATCCCATGCAACTATGGGGACCCACAAATCAGTAGAGTCAAATGAAGGAGTATTAGCGATGACCTACAGAAATTCAGGTAGTCCGCCATGTCACAAAGCTGGCCCTTTTCCACAAATCGCTCCCGCAGTTTATCCATGAACAGGTTAATGGTTACATCCACGCCCGGCTCCATGTCCTGAACCTTGGTCATTGAATAGAGCCCCTTCACTGGCCGGATGTAGGTCGAGTGCCATTTCTCATCTTGATGCGAAAAGAGGTTCTTCAAGCGCACCCCGGAGACAATCACGTCGTTCACATTGTACATATCACTCTGATTATCGGGATAGTTAGAGATACATCGTTTACTATGTAAGTCGGAGACACCCACCTTCATCCACGGATTCTTCGAATTGAAGACATGAGGGATAACGCTTGGGTCTGAGAGACTGAGAACTTTGGGTCCCATGCGCACCGCGGTTCCATACTTGCGGTGCAGCTGATTATGTGTAATATCACAACGGCCCTTGGATACATCCTGAAGGCGCCACAGATTGGTAAAGCTGGCCCAAAATGGCCCTGGAAAGATCTTCAAGGGGGACGAAAGGTAGTTCCAAAGAAGGTGAGAGACGCCCAGGATGACGATTGCCAACCCCAGGTCCATTATCAGCTCGTTAATAGATAACATGTTTATCTAATAGATCGTTTCAGCACACTGCACTAGGTCTGCAGCATTCCAGGTACTTCCCTGTCCGTTGTTGACCTGTCTACATTCCGGGTAGATATAGTTGATGTCGGACAGGAGGATGTGGGGGGGCGAGGATGATATGACCCCCGGACCATTGTAGCACGGTGCACCAGCTCCACATCAAGGAGAGACAGGGTTAAACTCTCGGCACAATGGAGTGAAACCCGGAACTCTCGAATCTATCAGGTTTCTGCCCCGCCACCATAGGAAGATACCACGCGGGAACGTCGGCCTCGGGTGTTTTGAGGGTGGGGTATGATCAATAGCATTTGCGTTACTGGTTATTCGTAGCGTGTATAACAAGCGACTCCTTCGGTGGACAGGATGCCTGCCTAGGACATAGATCTATCTACTTAGGAAGGTCTCTGTGTCCCTCGCCGAGAACCCTTTGTGACTAGACGGACGCCCTGAATGCCGTATAGAACGATACTACCTGGGACAGACTGATGGATACAACAACATATATTTGCTCCAAGGGAGAACTTCATGCCGTTGGTGACACGGGATATCATATTCGATGTACCGGGGCTCTTGACGGACAATTACCATTGGCGAGTATAGGACCAACAGAAATTAATTTGACAGAGAATCCTCTAAGCCCTAGTCCCTGTTATCGAGTATGACATCCTGCGCTAACGGTGCCGACTGTGTCATGAGTGAGAATAGTGAAAACGGAGGAGTTAGTTAGCTGGCTTGGCGGTACTTCTGCGCAAGCTCTACTCGACCACATACTCTAGTCGGCGTGCTAAAGAGAAGACTAAAGGTCCGACCCGCTGTCGGAACGCTCTGGACGGATGCTGATCCATGCGATATCCACTTGGCTAACGTTCGCTAACCATACGGATTGGCTCATTTCTTTTTATTGGTAATGTCATAGGTACATTTAGGGCTCGCTACATGACTCGGTTGTTCAGGAAATGTTACCCCTTGTGGTTATCACCCCTGCAGTGTGTGTGCGCACACAGTAGATCATTGTATGGAGCAATATCGAATTGTCAAGATGGGAATTTTAGGCCCCCAATGCTACTCTATCCTTGCCACTAATAAGCAGCGGTTGACAGTAGTTCCGACTTGAGTAGGCAGGCCCTGGTTCCGTCGACTCTTGGTCATGCCAATCTTCACCGTTATTCATATTCATAAATACGTAAGCCTAAAGGATCAACCCATGTTACATAACAAGAAAAAAGCAAGGGAAAGGATGGGGGCAAAAAAAAAAAAAAAAAAAAGGAAGGAAAAGGTACGAAAGTGCCTTGTTCGGCGCTACAGAGTCTTAGCCTAAACATATTCGTTTCTCTATTTTGTGACTCCTCAGGAGGCAAAGCTCCGGGGGCGGCGATCCAACTTCTACTACATACATCTATCCTGGTATTTGTAGCCCTGGACGTCCAGGCACACTTGATAGCTTCTACCCGACGCTCTGCCGGTTAGAAGCTTTCTCGACGTCCTCTGCATGCTTCCTTGTACTCCAAGTCGCTGACGAGCCATGTCATCTAAGCCGATTGACGACCAGGGCCCAACCATCCTGGCTGTGTGCTGGATCCTGGTCTTAATCCCGGCTCTTATTGTCGCCCTCCGGATGTATTGCAAGGTGATGTTGAATAGAGGATTCGGATGGGATGACATGGTGATCTGTCTGGCCCTAGTCCGTGGCCCTACCCCTCCGGTTTGACGCTGCTGAATAGCTGATTATCAACTGACAGGTGCTGCTCCTCGTATACACAGCGCTCACCACCCGGGGCGTTCAGATGGGCGTAATCGGTAAACATGTTGGCGATATTGATGACCCTAGTCAAACGCCGGGAGCGCTGAAGTTAATATATATTGGCATGATTATATGCATCATCAGCTGTGTGCTCAGTAAGACGTCCTTCGCCATCACCCTGTTGCGCATCGTGACGCGCACCTGGCAGAAAGCGATCCTGTGGTTTATCATCGTCTCTATGAATGTCATCATGTGGCTATGCGCCATTTGCTACCTGCTCCAGTGCAAGCCCGCCGCGGCACTCTGGGATTCCGAACTCATGCCGACGGCGGACTGTTGGCCTACCCATATCTTTCAAACGATCGCTCTTACTGCCGGAGGTACTATATAGCAACTGATTCACGCGAGAGGAAGACCGCTGACATGTTTCTTAGCCTATTCCGGATGTATGGATTTCATCTTGGCTTTGCTCCCATGGTTGGTGATTTGGAAGCTCCAGATGCGGCGACGCGAGAAGCTAGGCATTGCGATCGCAATGAGCTTAGGTATCTTGTAAGTGGGCTCCCATGCATCTCAAACTGTGACCATGTGATATCCTGACATGGCAATGTTCCAGTGCGGCAGCGACGGCCTTCATCAAGACCACGAAGCTAACCAACGTGTCCAACGTTGCCGATTACACCTGTACGTCTTCTCCTTCCTGCTTCCTCTTTCGTTTATGTGCTAACGCGGCCGTAGACGCTTGCTCAGAGATTCTCATATGGGCCTCGGCTGAAACGGGCCTGACCATCTTCGCCGCCTCGATTCCTTCCCTTCGCGTGCTGTTTGTCCGGATGAGTTCCTCCTACAATCGCAGTGACGAGCCGTCTTCCTATGCCTACAGCAGCTCCGCAAAGAAAAGCCGGAATCGCCGGGGTCTGTCCGGATCTCACCAACGTGATCCTTACTACTGTGGGGATACTATCATTCTTCCCGACCGACAAGACGATAATAGTGCCAAAAGTATTCTGGGTAGCTCAGGGATCAAGCAGACGCAAGAGATCATTGTGACATATGACCAGGGCCCAGAGGAGAACGACCAAGTGGCAGATAGGATGGATATTTTGCGCTCAGGGTCACATCGTTAAGATATCTCTCTATGTATTATATTGCGATTGGCAAGCGGATAGACTACCAAATGTGTTATGGCTATGGTCGGATAACCCGTAAGATGGTATTAAGCGACTGAATTGAAAACTTGGCAACGCACTCGATACCTCTTCCCTCCCAAAGAACAACTCTATTACCAAAATGAGCCAGCCATTTAGTGATGACTCTGGGTCCTTCGGGGGAATTTGCGTTCGATCTCATCTTCCGTGAATCGCCGAGTCTTAGTGCGCAGCATTTGCGCAATTTCGTCTTGCTCCATCCCGATCTGGTCCCCCAATGGGACTAGACATTTGGCGAGATGATGATAGTCCTTCCGCAATAGTCTCACGGTGATCATGATGTAGTCAATGTCGCGAAACACCAGTGCATTCTCGGTGGTATATCGGTCCTTCTGTTGCAGGAAGGCCACGGGATGGTCCCTCCAGTGGCGGCGAGGATTCAGGTGATGGGAAGTATGGTAGCCATCGTTGTAGCAGAACCGGTTACTCTGCTCATCTTAGTTTACATCGCGGCATCTCAGTCCTACGGTGCTTACTTACTGCAACATCTATCAATGTAATGCTCGAGCGGAAGTCAGAGTTCGGATCCACCTCGTCCACAAAGGCGTGCTGTCCCCAGTTTCCTACCATCAGCCCCAAGCGCAGTTGCAAAAATGGAAGAACAAAGCAAAAGAGCGTTGGTTTCCAGCCGAGGTATTTCCAGGCCCAATACATTGATGCAAGACTGAGAATCTCCCATGTCCCTGCCTTGAATGCGCAGGGAAAGTTACCCTTGCGGAAAAAGTAGCGTGGTAGCTCGAACCAAACACCAACCAAGAACCGGCCAAAGTAGCACAGAAAGTCGAATAGGTCATCGCGTTGATACCGGATGGTAGAAGAGAGGTCGTCGGGTCCATTGCCCTCCACGTGGTGATGCTTGACATGGTGATAGTAGTAGCTGTTCCAGGTATGGCCCATCAGGCGATCCGTGATATAAGGGAATGTCATGTCGAACCAGCGGTATTTCGGCTTCAGTACTCCCCCCATATGAATATGCTGGTGCATCAACAGGGTGTATGTCCCCGTATAGTAGCTTTGCATGAGCCAATGCAGGATCCCATGTATCCAGCTGAATCTATAATATAAAAGGATTGCGCTAGGGACGGAGGTAGTGAAGTAGAGTAGGATATGAGAGAGCATCACCACGTCGGTCTCATGCCGAACAATTTGCTTTGCAAGACCTATGTAGGGCTGCAGGATCCACCTGTCTAGCCAAGGATAAAGGCGAAGATCCCTCAGGTCCCATGTGAACACAACGCTGGGCTCAAAGTCCGAATGATGGGGGTCATTCAATGCCTGCAGTTTTCTGACCGTCTCTTCATCGTGAGACGTCCTACTTCGTATCACGGCTTCATGATCTACCAGTCGGCTTTTAGAATCCGTATCTCACTGGAGAATTGGGGAGAAGGTGCACTTACCTTGCCCCTCGCTCCTCCATGTTTTAATATCGCCCAGCAGGTTTTTCAGGACTAGCACATCGCTAATCGTCAAATTAGGGTCGAGATCCATGGCAACGATGTGACCGGGGCAAGAGAAACGTTCTTCTTTTTACTTGCTTGAACTGCTAATTTTTTCGGATCAGCGAGTCAGCTGACGTCATTATTTTTCTTTCCCTTTTGCACTCCTTTTTTTTTTTGCCCCTCCAGATACACTTTTTTCGATCTGTGTTTTTACCTTTCCACTTTGGTGTAACTGAGCCTTCTTTTACTTCCATCCGAGGCCCGATATATGTGGGCAATCAGAAAAGAAAAAGAAAAAAAAATAAAAAAAATAGGAGCCCCCTTTTTTTGTGGTCTGTGCTTGTTTTCTATACGAACCAATCATGACGGAACCCTAACGGCTCCGTAATCTCCATAATCTCCATAATTCTCAGGGGCCTTGTCTATTCTCGTCTGGCAGAGAGGGTCTTTGTGAACAAAAAAAGTCAAGTGATTGCATGGAGGGAAACATACGATGCTATAAAAAGAATGAGTCTGTTCCGCTCCCTGGAATGTCACGGCCGGAAACGGCTGCACGGAAGAAAGGATAGTTTGCTGTGTATATCTCTTCCCTCGCAGTGCAACCATAGCCTACTTCTCTGATGGGGTGATCCAGAATCTAGATATCTTGGCAAATACTCCTATTTGTTTAATCTCAGCCCTACATAATACTGTGTATTTTGTCGCAATGAGTGTTTTCGCATGCACCTTCCCGCTCACAGGGGGACATCCATACCCTAAACGATGCATCTGGCTATGATCTCCTCCTTGGTAATAACTGAAAGCCTTTGTCCATCCATTCGTATACCGGTGAGTCTTAAGATCTTCTTCCTGGGCGGATTGATTTTCCTCCGAGCGACGGCATGCCGTGGCCAAGGCTTGACTGATTTAAATCTCTCCGATGTTCTGCAACCGTTTTGAGCGAGACCCACAAGGCACGTTGCTGAGGGCTTGGCGGATTTTCTCACTTTTTGACTCGATCCAGAATTATACTGGTAGAGAAAAGTCTCCATTGGTCTGTAAGCTTAAATCGCAGATCTCGTATTTGCAAAAGTGTGGATAGAATAAATTGTAAGGTGACAATATCGCATATAGCGGGTCCAGTCCATCCTATCGAATTCCGTTGAGCTGACGGGAAGGTCGAGCCGGCCAGAAACTTTGTCCATCTGTTGGTGAAGCCACTCGATCCCTCCGACATCAGAGTAGTTTCTCCACTCTCTCGAAGAATGGTTGTTTACCAATGGGATACACTTCCTATTTTCCCTTGTACAAGACATGTTTCCATCGTAGAATCGACGTTCTATCCAGGGTAAAAATGACACAATATACTACACATCAGGCTGACAAATGCTGGTCTGAGGCGTGGTTGAGCAAACAGAGGATTGGAATTACTCAACTCTTGAGTGCATGAGACAATGATATAAAATGCTGTCCTTGAACCCTTTCAAAAATGTAATTAATTCACCAATAATCAACCAATCCTTGGCGTGCTCGGGATCATCACATTTACAAAACGCAATGGCTCAAACTCGTATTCTTCTAACCGGGGCTACAGGCTACATGTGAGTATGCCCTGTCATAGATCTCTGAAGAAAAGGGCTAATGAGACACAGTGGTGGCTCGGTCCTAACTACACTTAAGGCCAGTAGTACCATTGAGGTACAGAAGGCACAGATCGACGTCCTCATTCGCGGGCCGGAGAGGATTTCGGAGTTTGAAAACCTTGGTGTTGGAGTCATTGTCTTCAAAAGCTTAGATGAGACGGAATTTATTCGGAAGCTCGCGAGTGATTATGATAGTAAGCATTGGGAAAGGACCCCAGGCAAAGACAGTTCCCTAATCATATTCTAGTCATTATCAACACCGCTTCTGCTTTCCACACTGAATCCGCTATCGCCATGATCAATGGCCTCCATGATCGAGAGACCAAGACAGGCCGGAAAGCCCATCTTATCCATGTGAGTGAGGAGATGCACAACAAGTTGATGGACGCCAAACCGCTGACAGATTGTTAGACCTCCGGAACGTCCAGCATTGCTGACCGTCCAGTCAGCAAAGTCTACCTTGAATCCCGGGAGCTGCACGATACCGACGATGTATATGCGTATCAACAGAGTCGCGAGGCTCACGAGGCCTATAAACAGCGCACTACCGACCTGGCCGTCTTCCGCACTGGTATTGATCTTTCCGTCAAGACGACGATCATCATGGCCCCAACAATCTTCGGCATTGGCACGGGCCCTATCAACCGGCTCTCGATCCAAATTCCCGCACTCATCCGCCGTGCCTTGCACTACGGACACGCTGTGGTCATCGGGGATGGACAAGCCGAATGGGATCATGTCCACATCGCCGATCTAGTGACCCTGTTCGAGTTGGTCCTGACGAAGGTGTTGAAGGGAGAAGATGTGCCGTACGGAGCTAAAGGACTGTTGTTTGCAGAGACGGGTCGCCATACCTGGATGGATGTGTCTCGTGGCATTGCCGCCGCGGGTTTAGAGTTGGGCTTGCTGGCGACGGACGAAGTTCGTCGTGTGTCACTCCCAGAGGCAGCAGCCTGGGCCGCAAATGGCAGTGCGCAAGTGCGCGAGCTGGGCTTTGCATCGAAGTAAGTCTTCTTCACCCGCTACCATTTATCATTGGTACTAACCCTATCTTAGTGCTCGGTCGAAAGCTACACAGAGCAGAGCATTGGGATGGCAACCACAGAAGACAGAGGCGGACTGGCAGGGCGCATTCAAGGAGGACTTTGAAGCGATTGCCAAGACTGTTGTTTAAGGAATAATCTGTATACTCTTTTCAAATCAGAACCCAGGGAATTGATAGCTCAGAATGCCTGTCTATCCGGCTTTCTTCACTCTTAGCTAATATAATGATTATTTGGACTCGTCACACCCTGCATACTGGATCTGGCTGTCCTTTGTCTTTTCCTAGTAGAGGCATAATGGCCTGGCTGGGGAATGATCAGAAAGTCCAAAGTGGCATAATCGGTTTAGAAATAGGAAGATGATTTATATTCTAACAAGGATGTATATAACCAAAACAGATTTAGGAGTGGATTTTGAATTGCTTCACTGGTTTCCGTTATGATAAGTATGTTTCCGTATCGATGTGTATATCAACTATAATCAAAATGTTCTATTAGTATGGTAGACTCGTCACTCTATAAAATATTGTAACATGGTATTTTTTTGATTTTTTTTTTGGTTGAATATGGAAAACGAAAAACCGTAACATACCAATGCGGGGTTACCTCAACCAATGATATGAAACTTAAAGTCTCCGCGGTGGAATTTGCAAAACGTGCAATTGCCTCCCGTAACTATGGAGGTTGGATTATTAATCGAACACCAACATCTCCACGCAACGAAGCAGGTTGAGCAACAAACACGAAGTACACACAGCTCCCATGCTCTGACACTCTCTTGATACAATTCTTGCACTGCGACATGTCTCAACTGGATCATGCGCCAAAGACCCGAACCCGCAATGGGTGCGCCAACTGTCGACAGAGTAGGGTCAAGTGCGACGGAAAAGAACCCTCCTGCACGCGATGCTGGCAGAAAGGCTGGCAATGCACCAGGGAGAAGTTGACTCTCAAATGGAGGTCGGACTACCATAGCCGTGGGTTAGCATTCGGACGGGAAGGAGTCTGGGGGAAAGAAACGCAGTCGAAGAAGAGACCGCATGTGGTATCAACTAGGGAACAGAATTGGCATCCCAATAGCACGGTGTATCCGTGGAGCTTTGTCAATCAGGATATCTCAACACTACAGTGGCTTTACGACGAGAAAAGAGCCCCTGGGCATCCATCATCCATGGAGATTAGCGTGATTGGTCCGAAACGCGACAGGGTCGGAGTGTCAGAGCAGGCCCCTTTGTGGTACTCGCCACCTGTATTTCCCTACCCACAAGCACAGAAGCACGCGATCATGGTTGAGTATTTCATCGATCAAGTCTGCCCTCGGACAACGTCAAGTTTGAAGATTGCTTCCCCTTTCACGTCCGTGATCCTACCATTTTGCTTGAACGGCTCGGCGAACGGGCTCCTAGCGCTTCAAGCACTGGCCGCGTGCTACTGGTCCCAGTCTAACCCAGCGCATACGAGCACCGCAGTGCGATTAAAGTCCAAAGTTCTGGGAGAATTGCGCCGCAAGATTGCGGCGGACCCCTCCTATACCATCTCCCCGGATCCCGAAGTCCTGGTCCTGATGATGATGTTGAGTCTATACGACATAGTCGACCAGTGCGACAAAGGATGGGTCGTCCATCTCCAAGGCGCGAAGGATATTATTCGGCTTCGGAGAAGAAACCTGTCCAACGAAATGCAATGTCCAGTGACGGCCTTTGCAGAACTATTCTTCGCTTTCCAGGATGTCATGGGCCGCACTGCGTGTGCCAAGGCAGATTTGTTTGGCCCTTCTTTCTGGGATCAAACTGACCGTGCCATCAACTCATGGATGGGATGTAGTCCTGAGCTGGTTTCTATCCTCTTTTCCATCCTGGATCTCAGTCGGATCCGCCCCAAGATGGACACCGACTTGGCTCAAGAGGTGGACTTTAGCATGAGGGCTGCTGCCTTGAACAGAAGATTGGGAAGCCTCGTACAAGTCTTAGCTGATCCAGAAGACCGCGCCCTCCAGGCGGTTGCTGATCTCAAGCGGCTAGCATGCACGGTCTATCTACACTGCGCGTTGTACAACGCGGAGCCATCTACCCCAATCGTTCGCAGTCTCGTCCGCAGGATCATCCAGCAGTTATCCACGTTGCTGAAAGAGAACCTCATCATCAATGCAACATGGCCGATTTTTGTAGCTGCTGTCGCGCTCGATCCTGCGGATGGGGATAATTGGCAAGATCCGGTCACTGGGGAGCTGGTCTGTGGACGAGCTTTGGTCCTGAGGGCATTGGCCACGATGGCCCAATCCACGGTCACCAGTGTGGCGCGTGTCCGCTCCATTATTGAAACTGTTTGGCAGTCGCGAGACTATGACTTAGCCACCGGATCGTCTCGACGGCAATCATCTCAGCACAATGACTGGGAATGGTATGTGGTCCCGTTGAGCGATGCATTGAGCCTAGTATAGCCATGCACTCAAGAGATATGTCTCTCTATCACTCTTGAGGGCATCAATTCTATCGCAATTTGGGAATGTTATCGATCCGTCTGGTTGGCAGGATTATATCAGACTGGATAGGAATATCCAATTTACAACAACAAACTTGCCATATCATTAAGATTACACTCGCCATGTCTGACCTTCTCCACCGTCCTGGACTGCAATCCCTCTACAGGGTAAGCATCCCTCAAGACTTACGGCGAAACCTCTGGCCTGTGATCGCCGGTAGTTTCTCGCTAGGGATATTTTCGTGGGCCGTTCATGACTATCGGGATTGGGTGAACTTTGGTGAGATAACAGTCTATGATCCGTTTATGGCTTGTGCTTGACCTAACGCTCACTCTAGGAACCGGTGGCACACCACCCACTATTCGCGGATGGCTCAAAGTCAACCGACTCCGTGTTGTAAGAGCCTTCAGCTATCTGTGCGGCGATGATCTGCAAGATCCGTCGGCCATGCCACAAACTGGACCCCGGTTACTTCCATCCAAACTGCCTAAAAGAGCAAAGGGGCCTCCATCACTGAAGCCGAGGTGAGAAAAGCAATGCCGTATAGCAATATGTCCTAACATTAAGTACGCACTCTCAAGAACCCTTCCCCAACGGCAATGTCCAGAGCCCATTGAGCCACAAGCCAGACAAGTACGTTCAAAGATCCCGCCTCACCGCATTTCTAACGCCGCGCCTAGGCATTATTCAACCTGATGAACAATTTCCACTCCCAATATCCTCAGTTAATCCGTCTAGACTTGTCAAAAACGGAGGGCGGTACTGCTGATGCCATTTATGCACGGTCGGAACTGCCGACATGCAATCCTGAAGCAGCGGCGGTTGGCCATGAGATCGCGCATGCTCACCCGGCTGACAACTCCCTGCATGTGTTGCTCTCCCCGGCCGATGCCCGCACTGTGAATGAAGCCGCCTGGGGTCTGCGATTTGCGGTCCCATCAATGGTTCCTCTCGGATGGGTAAGCCTGGCGATATCCGACATCGATCTGTTACGGCAAGGATCGATGCTAACGTAGCTCCCTCACAGATCATGGTATACGCGCCACGAAACAGCGAGGAGGTAGATATTGTTTCTCAGGTCGTCCGAGCTGCAATTCAGTGGACAACGGGTACGAAGCTGGATCAATTTGCCTGATAGCGCCATTCTAAGTTGCGGGCACTCGGCTGTTGAAAGACGACGAGTAGTTGAGAAAGCGTCAACCGATCCACCAGGCGCATTGCTCGAGTTAGCACCGTGATATTTAGCGCAGGAACTAAACTCAGATTACAACCTAAATATACAGATTATAAATTGACGCGTCATATCACTTTCCTTTCTCACGTACGCCGGATTTATGGCTCGGCCTCGGAGTTAAAGATAATGGATATAAGAACTCAACCATCCCCATCCACTACCGTTTCCGAGACTAGTCAGCGATACAAAGCTTGCGCCAGTCGATATCCCTACAGTCATGCCTCCTTTCATTACCCTCGAAGAGCATTACGCCTCGCCCAAAGTGCGTGAAGCAAGCGCAGAAGCCCGCGCACATTATGCAAACTTCCCACCTGCTATACTGTCCAAGTTGGAGTCCCTCGGGGAGGAACGTATCCAGGACCTTGATAAAGGAAATGTGTCCCTTCAAGTCATTTCCCACGGTCCGGGGAATTTATCGCCCCCTCTCTGCTCAGAAGTAAACAACGACCTGGCATCTGCCATTGCTAGGAATCCCACTCGACTAGCAGGATTCGCCATGCTCCCGATGAGCGAGCCAGCTGCTGCCATGGCCGAACTCGAGCGCTGTGTAACGGAACTGGGCTTCGTTGGAGCCCTGGTGGATAATCACCTGGACGGACAATTCTACGACGATGAACGTTTTTGGCCAATATTCGAGAAAGCGCAGGAACTGGACGTTCCGATCTATATCCACCCTACGTTTGCATCCGACTCCATGATGGAGCATTATAAAGGGAATTACAATGACTCCGTGGCGCTGGCGCTGAGCGCATTCGGCTGGGCCTGGCACGCCGAGACGGGACATCATATCCTCAGGTTATTTGCCTGCGGTCTCTTTGATCGTTTCCCTAAACTAAAAATTGTGATTGGGCACATGGGCGAGCTGCTACCTTTTCAGTTAGACCGCGTGTTTGCTATCTCGGACCGATGGGGCAGAGAAAGAAGCTTTAGGGAGGTTTGGCGGAACAATATCTGGATCACGACCAGTGGCATGTTTTCGTTGACGCCGCTGGCTTGTCTCCTGCAAACGACTTCCATTGACCATGTGTTGTATAGCGTTGACTACCCGTTTTCACCGAATGAGAAAGGATTGCGGTTTTTCGAGGAGATTGAGAAGAGTGGCTTGATCACGGGGAGAGATCTGGAGCTATTTGCATATCAGAATGCAGAAGCATTACTAAAGGTCAAGGCAATTAATATGTGAATTTCTCTTATTATCTCACGTCTTTTAGCTATAATGCGGTTGTTAATGCGTGACACTGTCGCTCTATATCACCCAGTTCCCTTTACGACGTAGGTTGGACCATCTAGAAGCAGGCGAAAAAGTTGGTCTTCAGGACACTGGTACACCTGCCATGGAAAAGGGTCAACAAGAAGCTGTTCATCTGGGATAATTAGGGCTGTCATAGATAGTCTATGCCCAAATGTAATCTAATAGAAAGTTGATATTATATTACAATTGTATCTTGTTATATTCAACCGCTGGTGAAGAAGAACGAGAAACGAAGAGATCTCTTAAGGCACGATATGGTATATTTCAACAAAGGAAAGTACGATAGCGAAAGGAACAGTGTGAAGAGAAGTGAAACCTTGTGTAAGACACAATCTCGACCCTGAATATAGCCCAGCGACAACGTCCTATGGAAAAGCATCAGTCATCTGTGGAGGCCATTGAGGTTGTGTGGTATGACTGGCGTAGGTGGAATGACTATTGGCATCATCTCGACTATCGGCCGTCCCGCGACGTTTGCCAGTAATTGGATATGTGGCGAACAGACTATGCTGGCTGGGAGTGGCCGCAGTCGTCGTGGACCACATACGGATGATCGGTCGGACGGTTGCAAGACTGCCAGCGGTGATGCCCAAGCCAGCTTCGATGTTGGACCAGATAGAGATTTGTGTGGTTGCATCTGCCAGCGGTTAGGGTTGTGAGGCAAATACAAGGACGACACAATACTGACGGAGAAAGTCTGGACTCTTTGCCGAACTGAGAAAGGGGATGCGCACGATGACTGCAGCGCTGGCTCTACAGAAAATAGTCAGCATCAAGTACAACATAACGCCAAGGTACGGTGCCAGAACGAACATGCAGGCAATTCCTAAAATCCCCGCTACGGCGACTTTCGTACGAAGATCCATTTGAAGCCGCCAGATGAGAAACACTGGGAGAATGCCCATGGTGAAATCACAGGTCGCCACCACCCCGCTATACATGTATACGATCCCGAGACGCGCGTCCATGGCCAGGCAATGGCCTTCCATCCATAGCAGATTCCAGTAGTAGGAGACTGGCTGACATTGGAAGATTGAGACAAAAAGAAAGACGATCCCCACCGCCGTGGACAGCACCATCACTGCATAAAGAATCCACGTATGGATGCGCTCGATTGTCAGGCGAAGTAAGGTGATAGCAATGGATAGTCGACCGACCGTCACGGTGATGATATAGATGAGCTCGCCCAGCCACCAGAACTATTCACGAGAACCGTCAGTACAGACAGTGTGGCAACGCAGGAGAACAACAACACTGACAAAGAATCCGCGACGGACGTCGTCCGGTCGGTCAGCAAGGTATTCCATCGTTTTCCCCATTCCGGAGGAGGCACCGAGGAAAGTACACACGGCGAATCCCACATTGAGAACCTCGAATAGCTGTCAGTGCGAAATCTGGAGAAAAGGAATGCGTGACTACACACCATCGCCGTCACAATCAGTGCATCATCGTAGCCGAACGCGCGCACGATTCTCAACCGAACAAAACATCGTAGACAGACCGCCACCAGTGATACCCCTAGGGACACTGCGGTGACTATAATAATAGCATTGCTATTCCCGTCTCCCATTGTCCAGTGACAGTAGACCTGGACGTACGGACGGGCTATGGAACAGCCTTCGAATGCTGGGGTTTGAGGGGGTTCATCAGGATCTGCAACCTTGCTGATATAATGATTGAAGGTTGCGGAGAGGAGGCAAACTTTATTGAACGAGAAGACCCGACACGTTGGCTCTCTGGGGTTGCTGTCTACCTCTACCGGGAACCATATCCATCTCAACCAGGGCTGCTTCCGCGCTGAGCCGTGGAACCGCGACGAGTCTAGACTGCAACCTCAAAGCATTAATGTAGATTCCAAGGGACTTGGGAGATGCTACGCCATGGAAATGTTATGTAAAGGCCAAGAGAACTTAAGGACACCAGCCGATTCGTACTTTGGGTTTTCTCAAAAATGGATCACTTAAAAACTCTGCGAATTAGGAAACGGAGATCTACGGGACAAACGCTGGGCAGCGATTTGATTCCAATCCTATTTGTAATTTGCCGGTCATCAACCAAGTTCGTACTGGGACTCACTGATCGGCGAGGGAAAGTTCGGCCATTTGCGACGTCACTCGCATATTAGCACGGACCTCTTCATAGTATGTCCTCGCTCTCTCTTTTCTCTCTCAGGGGGTTTACAATGGTACGCCACAAGGGATGCGCATCCTCATCCACAGATATATAATCCAACCGTCTTTGGTTCAGCATGGCGCCAGAGCTGCTGATGCCATGATCCGACCCCATTAGGGTTCCACCTCCACCAATGCGGCCCGATGAAGCAACGTGGCATGCGGGTCGAGTTCTACTTAACTTCCATTTGGGACCTTCTCAATGTAGACAATGATATCACTCTAGTGCCTCCTTCGGATGGCGGCCGAAATGTCTGCGATGTTTCATTCAAGTGAACCGGTTGGGTAGGTGTACAGTTTTGTATCTGAGATTGGACGGTAACGCAGCATGATCAATTTGAACGTAGAACTGAAAGGTACATACATGTAAGGGGATGAAACGCTGGGTAATGCAAAGGAGGGTCTGAAAAACAAACTCATTATGCAGAGCATTATCTAGGAGATCCAACAATAATACTAACACAATACGTACTCGTCCATACTATTTCTGGCATGTATTAGAAAGTTCGATTGAACCAATTGCCAGCCACGTCACGTGCGATGGGCCCCGGAGCCTTACCGAGTTGGGATATTTTATTGGCCATCCACATTCAGAGGCATGGGGGAGTTTTGACAGGAACTACTCCGGACTTCAGCATACAAAGCTCCACAAAAAATATATGTGAAAATCGAATAAAAAATAGGAATAGGACGATCAACGGTAAGGGTCACGTCATTGATACGTCATTCTAGATTGCTTGGAAATTTGGTTCTTGGCAGGGTTTAAAGGGTCTTAACTGACATGACACGGAAGGAACTCGGAGAATACCGAATAAACTTGGAGAGATCTCCCTACATGGAATTGGTAGAGGCAGACCAGAGACCGACCTGCTAATTGTTTTGGTGCTCTTGGAGGAGAGATAGGGCAATTCCTGATGCCCGTCGAAGTTGCTTTCAGGGCTTTTGTCGTTGATCAGGGATAGCAAGAGACCCGTGACCAAGACCCCATGCCCTCGCGCTGATTGGCGGGAAGGTGCATCCAGACCATTCACCGGCTCTGACTTCCGTCCCAATGGTGAGCAACAGCGAACACCAACTCCAACTCCTTCATTTTTATGCCGCGTGGATGGAGCAAAACGTGCCATCAGCTGGGCACCATTTGTTCCAACTGCAGATTCTTATTGTGTATAAAATAGGACAACCCCAGTGCCCTACCGCCATGGATTACTTAACCCCCCTCACTGACAGACGCGACGTCACGAGAGTGACGGCACCCTAGGGAGCGGGAAAAATGTTTGGCAAGAGGTAATTTGATACGCGCATACCGCGAACGAGATTCACCCTGGCGTCGGCTCAACAGCACTTCTTCAGGAAAACTTCGCAGAAGCCGAACGAGCAGCTCATTCGAGAATTTCGCAATGATTTTCCCCATGTCTTTTCCGAGCTTTCGATCGCTCCGACGCTCCCCCCGGAGGGCCTTGTCACTCACGCCCAACCAGGCGCCCTGGAGCCTGCGCCCTGGGTCGAACAACCGTCCACGCGCTCGAATGCCCTCAGTTTTGTGAATCCCACGAGTCAGCCGCATGGCTTATACACACCACTGCCCGATCGAATGTGCGCCGTGCTGCATAGCCCGGCGGGGGACTTGCACACCCCGACCGTGGAGTGGAACCTGACCAGCTCGCCCTTCCGCTGGACACAAATGGTCAGCGCCCAGACGGCCCGTTCCCAGGATGACCCTCCACCCGCCAATATCGCCGCGTTTCCCTCGCTCGACCCGAGCCGGGTCTTCTCGAATGCGGACCCATTCGCCCCGACATTCGATGCGCCACATGGCGTCGCGCGCTATTTTGACCATGATCCTGGGGAATACGTGGCGCCGGATGAGTGCGGTCGGAAAGAATCATTTGTGTCATCCGTCCGGGAACTCTCGACGGACCATTCAGTATCGCTGGCGTCGAATGTCCCGGAGAGAGTCTCCACCCATCCAGAAATCCCGTACTTATATCCCAGTTCGGTCCCGGTCATCGGTGGATGCTAACGTGGGCGAACCATGCAGATTCCGCTACCATGTCATTCTCCATGCGCCCACCGCGATGTTCGACCATGCCCGCGACATCCCGGTGACCTATCTGAACAAAGCCCAGGCCTACACCATCACGGTTGTCGACTCCCGCCCGCCGGTCGCGCCCGCCCAACCAGTCCAATACCGGACCCGAATCGGAATCGCGTTCGAAGAGCCCACCCACCGATCCAATCCGGCCACTTGCTGGCAGCTATGGCACGACGCGCGGGGTGGGAGTGACGCTGAGCGACGCGGCAGCAGCCCGTGTGCGATAGAATTGGTGGCGCTGAAGGGAGGTGGCCAAGAGACGCCTGATCCGACGTGGCATCTAGAAAGTGCGTCCTTTAACCAGTTTTGTGTTTCATGGATGAGCTCGGGCGAGGCACGTCCGTCGGAATGCCGGATTCTCGTGCGATTCCACTTTCTCTCCACGGATTTCACTCAATCCAAGGGGGTCAAGGGAGTCCCAGTGCGATTATGCGCGAAGACAGAGAGGATCTCTTCCCCGGAAGGCCCGCCGGCAGGTGAAACGGAGTCGGAGATCTGTTATTGCCGAGTAAAAGTTTTCCGGGACCATGGTGCCGAAAGGAAGCTGGCCAACGATGTCGCTCACATCCAGAAGTCGATTGAGCGAATCGAGAAACAAATCGCCCGGGCGGACTACCACGGGGGTGCCCCAGGTAAGAAGCAGAAACGCAGGAATGTCGCGCGCGGGACCACCCCGAATGACCCGACCCGATCGATGAGTCGCTCCCCCAGCGTGTCGACCCCGGGCGACCTATACAAGGTGTTGTACGATCTGCAGCGGTTGTTCTCGTCCCCCCTCTCGGTGAGCGTGTTCTCTCTACCCGGGGACGAGCAGGACGACCCTGATCAGTTGGCTAGCATCACGTTGGGGAACCATATGCCTGATGGAACGGAATTTCGTGGCGATGCCGACCGCGACGGTCCATTTGAAGATGGTTTGCAGGGCCGACTGTCCCGTTCTCCCACTCAACGGTCATCCAGTATCACGATGGGCCAGGCCATGTCGGCAGACCCGGCGCCCGGTGAGATTTGTCGATTGCGACTTGCACTCAATGGGAAAGCTAACCGATTCTTAGTGGCATGTTTCTATATCCAAATCCAGAAGAGTCACCGTTCGAGTCCCTACTACCATGCGGTGTACCTGGCCAAGCGGACCGTCCGCAATTTGATGTTGCAGCTGGCCAAGCATGCTCACGTTGACCCGAGAGGCATCGTTCGCGTGGTCCATGTCAAGCGAATGGAATTATCGATCATGGTCGATGACGATGTCATCCAACATATGCCAGAGGGTCAAGACATGATTGCGAGCTTCGTAGAGATCCCCGCAGTGAACCGTGATATGCGTTGCCGGCCGAGGTTCGAGGTTCAACTGACCTATTAGCCATGACGGGCGCCCTTGAGCCAGTCAACTTTATCGTGTACCGGGCAGTATCCTTCTAAGAGAACCATAAGACACTCCGTACACTTCTTTGAGCAATGCTGTCGCTGGCACCGGTTTTTTCAACCGCGCCGCAGATCTTGCTCCGAGGACTTCGCATGGGCGAATGGATTATCGTCGATCGGCGATTCCTCGATGAACCTCCAGAGAAGCGTAGATCATCTGCCTTGAGAGTCCTGTCATACGTCAGATTGGATCGCTTTAGATAAGTCAACAATTCACGAATTTCCAACGTTTCCTGTGGTTTTCTTGGCTGTTGTGGCTAGCGTAGAAATATGCTCTGCGATATATATACTAGTGTGTCCGTGACGCTAGAGAAGATCGCCAAATGAATGAATCTGGGGCCGCCCTGTAAGGCGTCAACTGTGGAGAGACACCTGCATAAACAAGTGGGTCATGATGATGGAATAAATTGTCGCGATGTCGAGGTGATTTCATCGATGCGAGTAACTGTACCAAGGATGAACCCTGCCTGTTCTGCGATGCAGAATGGTCATGTGACCCTGTCATGATGAGCATGGGGCAGATCCCTGATTTCCTGCCCTAAGAAACTTATTCTGAGTTCAACATCCAAAGGGCCAACCTCATAAAGACTCCGCCCTGTCAGCCACCCGCGGCGTTCCAGAATCCAGACTTCTTCCACGGCAGTCTTTCTCCGGCACAGCCCAAGAACCTAATCATTCCGCTGCGCCTCAGCCGGTGACTCTTGGGGCCAAGAGCCAATTGACCGTCTGATTGGAACGTGACCGTCGCGTGACGTCAGCCAACCCTAGGCAGTCACCTCAGGCAGTAACTAATCCGGATCCGGTCTGGTTGCCAACGGTGGCTCATTTCGGCATATCTCGTTATATCAGGCGCGCATGCCCTGGCCCAAAGAACTAAAAGAAAACTTTCTGTCCTCTCTGGCGCATTCGCTCACTCTTCAATCGCTCTATCTTTAAGTTTTTGCGCTCTTCTCTTCATTCATCATGGTCACATAGTAAGTCACTCTCCCAGTCGCTTCCCAACTTTCGACGTCATGGTATTGATCGGCGACCACCTGCATATTTGGGCTGAATCTCTGACTAACCATTGCCAGTTGCCGCGATAGGTGGGGGAACATCTATCGATGTCGGTCGTCTTGGCATAACTGGGGTCGTTGGGTGTTACTGGCCATCATCATTGCAGTAGCACTTATAGCCTTCTTCTTTTACGCGTATGTTGCATCTCATCTTCGTCATTCTCGGCATGCTTTACTGACAGTATATCTTTGGTAGATGTCTCTCAGCTCGTAAACGCCGTCGCCACGGCCAACGACCCATCTATGGCACAGGCTGGATCCCAGGCACGCAACCTCCGCCAGGCCAATGGCAGCAACAGCAATATCCACCTCACCCACCACCGGCGCCACCGGGATACCAACCGTCCGCCGAGCATGGATATGGACAGAACTACGGTCCAAACCAGGGGTACTTCGGCCAGCAGCAGTACGGATCTGAGCTACAGCAACCACCGAACGCATATGCGCGAGACGGCGTATATTCACCCCCCATGGGACCACCGCCGGGTCATCCGAAGTAGAGGCTACCGGTAGAGATGCTGCCGGACGACAAATATAGACATAATACGTGCTTACGAACGGGTTTGACGAAGTGTCATTGGGTTTAGTTTGATAATCAAGTTAGGGTGGCTTCTATTTGAGGGACTCGGCGTTTCTTTGATAATTTTCTTTTTCATAAAGAAGAGACGTTTACCACAATTCTGGCGTCTGGTTGGACTTATGGGATATCATATACCTATTCCTTGACAAATTAATGAAATACTTCTCATTCATACTACGAGTATAAAGGCGGTTGCGCGGTGATATACTGATGCCGAATCTGCGAATAAAGAAACCATAATAGTCAAATACTCTCATAATACGGAGTAGAAGATATTCCTTCTACCATATTTGACTGATCTAATGACGGGCTATGATACCATGGAGATCTAGTACGCTGTACTGTAAGAAGACTCAGTCCGAGCAGAAGTCATCACACGATCTCCCCTAGCAGCCGCTCAACCCCTTACAACTCCTTGGCCCCCCGTTTACCCTCCGTCCTGCGCGTGGTATCTGCATAATCCTTCTCCTCGATCATGAATTCGTCATGATTCAGCGATCGGAAGCGGAACCAAAATAATATGGTCTGGATAGCCAACGCCACTGCGGGCGCGCCCCAAATCCAAATTAAATAAGGGTCTTGTGTGACGGGGATTAACACCTCACCCAGTGCGCTGGACAGCGCAGTGGTGAACAGGAAGATGGCCATGACTAGTCCGCGCATGGAAGGGGGAGCGCGCGCATACGCCAGCTCATAGGCCGTGACGTTGCAGAACAGCTCTGACAGGGCACCCAGAATGACATTTGGAAGTTGCCACCAGATCAGGATTGGACTGACGCCCGCATCGCAGGACGAGGCGTAATATCCGCAGGGCGAAGTTTTGTACACGCGCCACTGGACGATGGCACCGATCACCCCGGAGATCATGGCCAGGACAAAGCCGAAGGTGATTCGGTTGATCCGCCCGAACTTGATGTTGTAGCGCAATAGCAGGGGGTAGAGGATGTGGCTCAATACGGGAGTCATCACAATGATGGTTAGCGCGTTGAAGTTGTTCAGCAGGTCATTTGGAGCTCCGTTCGTCGTCATCGAGGCACCTTGGTTACTTGCAACTGAGCCAATACCGCCGTCGTTGATGTTGTAGATTGGGAAGTAAAAGAACACTTCCGTCGCGACTGCGGAGGGTTAGTAGGGCATAGTATAGTGTAAGTGAGAAGGACGACATACCCAAGGTCCGACGAACATCATCTACCAGCTTGTCGGTCCATTCCACCTGGATGCCCTCCGCGGCCAAGATGCTCGGTCGCGCTGCGTCAAAGAAGTTGCTGCGCCAGATTCGAAACTTGTTGCGCCGCAGCGCCATGGAGATAATCTTTACCGCGTGGTTTAGATCGGACGTCCCACTCGGGGGCTGCTTGTAGGTCTTCTTGTAGACCAACGCCAGCACCACTGGCAAGAGGAAGTAGATAATCCCCGCCAGCAGAAATGCCAGCCAGTAGCCCACGTACTTCTCTGCGTACGTGGTAGCCAGCATGTAAAAGGCACCGATGTTGACCACCCCGTAGAAGATTAGCATGGTGCGGCTACTGGTCAGCTCGGGGTCCACGATCACTTTCTCCCCGGATTTGAGCACTTTGGTATATGCCTGCTTGCTCCGGTGCTGGTCCAAGATGGTCGGTGCAATGTTTGGCTTGAATATACCAGCGCCAAGCGCCAGGATGAGCAGGCTGATGATGAACGGGGGCGCCGAATGCGCCGTGCCCTTCTGCAGGACAGATGGAATGGCACCAAAGATCTGGATCAAATGTGCGATACCACAGATCAGGACACCAACACAAATAGCCTTATATCGGCCGACATGAACATCAGCCCACCTACGAGGATTAGCACTGAGGAAAGTCGACAGCCATTGCAAGCGAGGGAGAAGAGTGGTATCGTACCATCCTCCCAGAATTGGAAGTATATAAGCCAGAAAGGCAAACAGCAGCACCAATCCGGAACTGGCCTGCAAGCCCATGCCCAACCCTCCAGCAGTCTCCTGCGTCCCACGTGGTGGAGCACCGGCGCCATTCCCGCCTGACTACTGTCAGCCAGTTCCTTCACTCACGTCTTGATATTGACAAACATACCTTTCGGGAGAGGAAATTCAATGAAGTTGGAGAAGACAGTCTGCGAACCGAAGTAGGAAGCTCGTTCAGCAAACTCAACCAGACACAGCGAGTAGGATACGATCGGCAAGCTACCCGCGACTTTACGGAGGGTACTTTGCTCTTCTGGTGTCGGCTCAGGAAAATCATCACTGTCCACGGAACTGGCTGCCGTGGCCGTTACTTCGTAAGTCTGTTTCTCGGTGTCGTAGCCGGCAGGCTCATTGACCACCGAGTCCAAGACCTGGCTCGGTCCCCGAGCGGCAATGGCATCGTCGACGACATTTTGTCCGCCTGTGAGAGCTGTGTTCAACGGCTGTGATCAGTCACTAGATGACTAGAGAGTAGGTCGACACATACACATGGTAAAATAGTCTAGTTACTCAGGTAATTCTCCTCTGTGGGGACAGAGATTGGCGATTCGAATACCACAAGGGGCGAATAGGTGGAATACAACCATCCTTATAATGGGTCCTACAGGCTTAGCTCGTGCGTGAATTGTGAGACAATGGGAGGCAGGTGGGCGGACTTCCGGCGGCGATAGTGCTAGGCGAAGGGAGATAGACTAGGGGTCAGGAGTCCTAGGGGAGACGGAGAGGACTGGTTGGATATTCATGATGGCGTATGCTTAGCTGCGATGTCGTACAATGTAGCATTGGCTCCTTGGGGGTCTTATCTCCTGGCCCTAGTAATGTAGTACCTGGTGCTGCAACGGAAAAGACTTGGCTTTATGAACAAGCAGCACGCTAGATGCTTATCAGTGGCAGTCTGACCCACCCTAATGACTTTAGTCCTGGCAGTTATTCTCATTCTAGCCTTTCGTCACGTCATTCACTACCAGCAACCGGGCATTTTATGTTACCCAAACACAACTCTCATTGGTTTTCACTCAAGTCGGCTTGCTCAAATCGGTACTAGCTCTTATTGTGGACATATATTAGTATAATGCTACCACTCCATGTGTTCTTTGACCTCGACTCGATCCTATCTGGGCCGGAGAGGGGGGAGAGAACAGACCCTCGACTCTGTCCCACCGCAGCCATTGAGAAATATTCTTGCATATTACTTCTCCACCATGATGTTCTTACTCGGCCATGAGGTCAGGTTCACGAGGCCGCCAATCGAATTCTTATGATTTCAAATGATGCTGTTAGATTTGGCTAACATTCGAGAATCCACCCGGCCAGCACTACCCTTCCACCAGTCATGGTACGATGAGTGCTCATTAAATAACAATATCTTGTTGGGGTTGATTTAGTCTAAATGTTACACAAGGGATTCTTGTCTGTTCTCACTGACGATATTATGCAAACACAGTAACAGTCCTATCACTTCTTTACATATCCATAGCCAATCCATTTAGCGCTTTTAATATTCTCTGCTCGGGTTTCAGGCAGAACACGTGAAAGGCTTGCTAATGGACTTTGACTCAAACTTATGAACCTACCAAGTTCGCATTAGCATACCATAAGTAGCTGATGTAAAAGGGAGGGACTCACCAGCTCGGCAATACTGGCGTACGTGCCACATCCAAAGACGATCATCCCAACAATGAACACCACGCCATTGTACATAGCAGTCTTCAAATTGCGCTTCTCATACCATGCGCCCTCTCTCAGAAGTACATACCATATGACCGGTGGGAGATAGAAAGATAGGCCCGAAACGAACAGCGATGAAATAATCGACAGTAGCTCAGAGAAGACAGGGATAGCCTCAGCAATAACCCACGCGAGCAGTGTAACGAAAAGTACAAGTCCAAGCCACGTAAACCAGCCTCTTGGGGTGTTGATGTACCGGACAATTGAGTTGCGATATACCTTTCCGTGGATATACCGACAGACCACCGTGGTGTTGATCGAGCCCGAGATGAAGATCACTGGAAGCGCGATACCAAATACGACTCTTGAGATAACAGGACCCGCTGACAGTAGGGCAGGAGACTGCACCTCTTGCCCGACGAATGCATAAATAAGCGAGCCTGTCAGGGTGTAGATGACGATTTGAATGGCCCCAAGCCACCAGAGAGTCTTGACGTAGTCCTCCGGTGTGTGCATTTCTTCCATGAACGATGGTAAACAACCACCGAAGGAATAGGCAAATACAATGCTGTTGGTAGATACGATAGCCTCGGTGAAAGTAATGCCTTCCTTCGGCCACGGAGACCATACAGCAAGGCCGACAGCAAATCCACCGGAACCGTTCGAATTTTGAATCCCAGTGGCAATCATAGTGACCCCTATCGCTAGAATGATCGAGGCAAAGTCAATGTAGCCTAGTATGGCGATGTCTGCAAATGCCGGTGGAATCGCAAGTATTAGCAATATTGCAGCAGACGTGATGCTAAAAACGACCGAGCACACGTCACTTTGCGTGATGGTCTTAAAGGCGATGGCACCGGTCAAGCAGTGCGATCCAACGACGAATATAAGCAGGCAAACGAAACTAGCTATAAAGAGCTTTGACCCAATATTTCCCAGCAGTAGCCGCCCGACATCCGCATAATGAGCGATCTCTGGGTACTTGAGCTTCACCTGTCCAATGTTGTAGCTTGCATACATTGCAACAAAGCCGATACCGATTGTCATGATTACCCCTGCCACCATACCAAGAGTGGCGAATGCATACGGTAAGCCCAGGCTCCCAAGAGCAATGCCCTCGACTATGGAAACGACGGTCAGCCGTTTCCAGCCGAGGCGATGGAAGTGTGCATCTCCTTTAATGACACATTGTCTCTCCTCATCCGAGCGGCCCTCTTCCTCGAGGAAGGCCTTGCTGACCATCACACCCCTGCTAACCTGAGTGATAATAGCGTCGTCTTTCCGAGCATTCTGGCCAGCGCCAGCCCCAGACGATTTCATTGTTCTATGGTCCATTCGGCGTAATATGAGAGACGTGACTGCGACTAGCAGGGAGAAGTAGGTTGATGTTGACAGATGGCAAGGCCCTGACCATATAATTATAGGGAAGTGAGGAGAATTTGCCGAAAACCCACGCTTAAATGTAAAAGTTTAGGAAAGAGTGGAGTCATGCCCCTCTTCACAAGCAGACTTAATTTATAGACACCCTGTTTTGCTGTTTTTTTCTCGGCCGTTATCTTTGCTTGTTCTCCTCGCGGAAGCGTCACGTAAAACAGGAACCTATTAGGGTTACCAGAATAACTCGACATTGAAGATCATGCCATGTCGACGACAGTGAATTGGATCCATGGTACAAATCATGTCTTCAAATGCTACTGCTATTATACGCGACATCGAGTCCTACATTGGTGCGGGGTCGGGACTAAGTTAGTGTGATTAGATTCTTCATCATGCAGTAACTGTTCCACTAATTGATATTGCTTCGGTAAGAAAACTCTACCGTATATGAATGAACCACGAGTTCTTCAATCCTCGTACAATGACGGCTAAGCACAATGCGTCTGTTTTTCACTGTATCGTAACACTGTGAGGTAAGGAGCGCAGGAGTGTTAGTGGGGGCACCATAGGCGGATTCAGTGTTCTTCTCCAGGTATGCTTTTTGTTTCATGGCATGATACTGATAGTAATACGTTACGACCGGGGGCCTCGGTTACGGTAGCATACATGGTGGAGACGCATTGGTTGAATTAGCGAAGGATATCGTAGGGTCAAAAGGCACGGCCCTGACATGCCCTGGTGGCGTTTTGCGGGTTACTAAGGATAGGCTCTGCTTCATATGAAGGAGCCGATGCAGAATCCTAGATTGGTCTCCCGTCTTTTCGCACGGCAACAGCGGCATACTACGGCCTTAGTTACAGCTCGGGATTAGGTAAAAGCATCCCAGCCCTCGTATTTTGGCTGTTCCACAATCAAGGCTGGATGATGCACTACTATCCAAAAGGAATGGGATAGCTTGGCAAGGCAGAGATAATCTAATCAAATGATCAGATAAGAAACAGCCCCACAGACTAGCCCCTCACCTGTTTTCGGAGTAAATTTGTCCGAGATGTTATCTGTCAGGTCTAGTTCATGCAACGATAGTAGGAAAAAGGGTTGTTGGAGGACTCGTTGGGTCCCTTGTGGCGAACGCATCCATACTGTCATATCCGACGTAGTTCTTCCAACAGCTAGAATCTACTCTCTACACTAAGTGGACTAAGCGGAAAGTGTCGAAAAGAACAGCTTGAGCAAACAAATAATTTGGAAACCAAGTTATGTCTCATAAAGGAGCTTGATAGTCAGCTTGACGGTTCTCTGGTAAAATGGGAAAGTGGATATGTACCTTTTTTCATTTCTTGTGCAGACACTGTAGAGGCCGAGTTAAAGCATATAGTGAAGATTGACCAGAGCTTCTTGTACATAATAGTAATGAATGACATAGTCGCTCACTGAATCCCGAGGTTTTCGAGGCAATGCTAATTCCCGTCCATATGTCCCCTTCGTCCACAACAACCGTCTAATATAGGATGAATTGCAGAAATGTATTGTTAACTAAAGCTTGTTGGGTACTATTTGTATGAGTATAGATATATAGGCTCACGTAGTGGCACTTATAGCTTTAGTACCCTTAAACTAGTCAGCGTCCTCGCTGCTATGCTTCTCTCTACAGCTGCTCAGTTATGCCTGAGGCAAAAACTAACAGAGCACGTGCCATTCAGTTGCAAACGTTTGCAGCGTTTGCAATTTCCGGCTATCGACAGAAACCTAGCCGTCTCTTACATCAGCAGACCCACCCGCCATTCGGCGTGTTGGTCTGCCTCACCTCAACGCAAATTCCCACTTCAACGCAAAATTTGAAGCTATTCAGAGATTTTATCTACCACCGCCATGCCTAATTCTTATTCTGATATTGAGAAACGAATCCTAGAGGCCTGTACAGCTGCTCAAGGCCAAAAAAAACCAAATGTCTCTGCGTTGGCGCGTCAATTTGACGTTCCTTATTATCGACTCAGAGCACGTATTCATGGCCGAGCTACTCGAAATACACGTCCTATCTCAACCAAGACCCTTGATGACTCACAG